GTTGTGGACCGCGTATATCGGTCTTGTGTGGTAACTATTAGGGGTTTGGAGACCCGAGTGGATCTTTGTTGCTGGTATGTTAGGTTTTGGAGGTGATGTTGGGTATAGACTGGTTGTCTCTGTGTCGTGTATTCTGGACTATTGCGCTAAGGCGGCAATGTTGGCTATGCCGGGAATGCCACTGATTGAGTGGTGAGATTCGACGGATTATGTTCCCAGTAAGGTGGTTTCATTCTTGAAGACCCAGCAGATGGCTGGGGAGGGTTGTCTTTCATATTTGGCCTTCGTGATGGGTGGCAGTGCAGAGACTCCTACCATGATTCAGTTCTGGTGGTGAGGGATTTTCCGGATGTGTTTTCTACTGTCGGGCATGTCGCCGGATAGGGTTGTCGATTTCGGTATTGATTTGGTGCCGGGCACCGTATCATATGGCACCGGTAAAGTTAAAGGAGTTGAAGGAGCAGCTTCAGGAAATCCTTGATAAGGGGTTCATTGGTAGGCCAAAATGGATGTGTGTTCTACATCGAGTCGGCTTGGTTGACTCTGAGTTGTATGGTTGAGGGATGTGTTGATTCGATTGTTGTGAGCTTATTAGTGACCTGAGGAGATCTATGAGTTACCTTTACGTGTTGCGAGGCGTTGGGATTGGTTTGTTATAGGCACATGTGGTGCGGTTTTATTGGGGTCTCTCAGTGGAATTCGAGTAGGAAGAGTATTGGGTATTGATCGGCGGATGACGTATCGGTTGTGTCCTTTCGGGTCTGTTTATGTTATGTCAATTGCTTCGCCGTGGTTATGATGATTTACTTTGGTTCTAGACATCAAATTGCGCGTGGTTGTCGATTTTGAGCATATTGACTTGAGGTGTTTCATGTGGACCAGTGTTTGGATGGAGTCGCGCATCGCAGCGAAGTTATGTGGAGGTATGACCCTTCGGGTTAGATTCGTGTGTTCTATTCTATGATGTGTGACGGGTTCTCATCATTGTGTATGGTGGTACTAGTGAGCTTGCGGTATAGCTCTCTCAATTGAGTCACTTTTCATGATTTGAATACGTTCGGATTGTTGCTTATTGGTGCGCGGGTTGCACGAGTTGTGGCTTTAGATTGTATTGATGTGTCATGTCACTACAGTAGTTGTGTTGGATTAGATGAGATCATCGGGATCTAAAATGAATACAAACGGATTCGATTTCAGTATGTTGGAAGGATAATGTCGATGTTCTGCTCAAAAATTTGCTAGAGTCCTTGCCAAAGGAGGAGAGGCTTCATAAATGGTTGATCTGACGAATGGTTATTGATTTTCTACATGTTTCATTTATCATTGGCACTATATGAAAGTGTTGGAATGCGACTTTAGTTGATAAGAGGTTTACTATTAGTATTCATTTGTTGTGTGCAACTGCTGTGATTAGAAGTTATCGCTACAAGTGTTTGAGTTATGTGGTATATCATGTAATTGCACCCGAGGTTGCAGGTATGGGTTATTACAGCTTGTTTGGGCTTATTCAGAGTATAGATGTGAGGTTCTGATCTTGTGGATGATTTCAGAAGTGGAAATGTGGTTCAAGGGTTATGGGCTAGGTTGGATTGTGAAATTTCAGTTACATTGTGTTATCGGATCTATATGAGATAGGGTGACGTGGGTTCACCCTAGGGCATGTGCCTGGAAAGGTTATTCAGCGATTGATTTTTTGGAACAACTCTGGGCACGTTCGAGGACCAACGTATGTTTAAGTGGGGGAGGATGTAATGACCCGACCGGTCGTTTTAAGCTTTTGCACTTCGCTCGCTAGTTCTCGGGCATGTCTAGCTCCGTATTATGCATTATGACTTATGTAAATCGTTGGTCTTGGTTTTCAGGGTAATCGGAATGAATTTGGAAGAACAGTTTTTAGTTTGAAGCTTGAAATTTGAAAGGTTTGACCAAGTTTTGACTTGTTTGTATATGATCTCGAATTGGAACTTTTATGATTTGCTTAGCTCCGTTAGGTCATTTGGGACTTAGGAGCGTGATCAGAATGCATTTTGGAGGTCCGTGGAAGGTTTAGGCTTGAATTGGCAAAATTGAGATTTTGGCGTTTTCTGGTTGATAGGTGAGATTTTGATATAAGGGCCGGAATGGAATTTGGGAAGTTGGAGTAGGTCCATTGTGTCATTTGTGACGTGTGTGCAAAATTTAAGGTCATTCGGACGAGGTTTGATAGACTTTTTGATCGAAAGCGTAATTTAGAAGATTTTGGAAATTTTTAGGCTTGAATCCGATGCAAATTTAGTGTTTTAATGTTGTTTTGAGCATTCCGAAGGTTGGAACAAGTTTGAATGATGTTATGGGATATGTTGGCATGCTTGGTTGAGTTCCCGAGGGCCTCAAGTGAGTTTCGGGTGGTCAATCGGACCATTTCATGTTGTGAAAAATTACAGAATTTCTGTTGTTGGTGTTGCAGGTTTTTGACCTTCGCGTTCGCGATGCATGTCCCGCGTTCGCGAAGGTTTAAGGTGTAAGGCTGTGGAATTGGCCTTCGCGTTCGCGAAGATGGTTCCGCAACTGCGAAGGTGTGTGGTCTATGGTCATTGCAATCGCGAGTCTCTTGTCGTGTTCGCATAGAGGAAGGGGGATAGCTGGGTCCCCAATGCTTTTGTTCTACGCGTTCGCGTAGTAGAGGTCGCGTTCGCGACCTGTTGAGTTTGCTGTGCTTCGCGTTCGCGTGGGTCTATCCGCGTTCGCGTAGAGTAAATTTAGGGTCTGGGAAGCTTGTGCTTCGCGATCGCGATGAGGGTCCCGCGATCGCGGTTAAGGAATTTTAATTGCTGGGCAGAATGTTTTAAAAGCTCATTTCGGCGATTTTGAGGCTAAGTTCCTCCATTTTTTGGCGATTTTGAAGCTTCTTGAAGGGAATTGAAGAGAGAATCAAGGGGGAACACTTGGAGGTAAGATTTTTGGATTCTATACTCGATTCTTATGTGAATTCTACCTAATTAATCATGGAGTCTAAGCCTAGTATTGACGAACTAGGGCTTGAAATTGGAGACTTAGAATTTTGGATTTGAGAGGCCATTTGAGGTCTGATTTTGATATTCTTGATATCTTTAGACTCGCGAGAGGATGTGGATTTCATAGATGTTAATTTTGTCAGATTCCGAGACGTGGGCCCGGGGGCCGGGTTTGGTCAAATTTGGGATTTTTGGTATAAATTGGATATTTTCGAGTGGGCTTTGTTCCCTTAGCATATTTTAATGGTTATTCACTGATTGTGGCTAGATTTGGAGCATCCAGAGGTCGATTCATGAGGGCAAAGGCATCGCGGGCTAGAGTTTGGACCGGATCGAGGTGAGTAATGATTTTAAATGTTGTCCTGAGGGTATGAAACCCCGGATTGCACATCGTGGTGCTATATTGAGGTGATGCACACGCTAGATGACGAGCGTGGGGTCGTGCACTGTTGGGGATTGTGACTTAGTCCATCCCGAATGATTGTTTTACCGCGTATTTGATTGAAAACTATTTGTTATCATTATGTTTTGGGCTGAATGCCATATTTGGGCCCTGTGCTAACTATTTGGACCCTTAGGGGATTTTTACTGATATTTCCTCACTATTTGACTTTATTCTTGTACTCAGTCATGTTATATACCACTATTTTCATAACTCAGCCATGCTTACTCTGTTTAAATACATTAAATGATATTTTTAAATGACAATTGGACTGAGCATCATGTTTTACTGTTGCCCAAGGGGCTTATGAGATTCTGACTGAGTAAGGCCGGATTAGTGTACGCCATGAGATGGCTTGTTGATTATTGGAGGTGAGGGCCTGAATTTTGTAACGGCCACTATAGTTGACTTGTTGATATGAGGCCGAGAGCCTATGTGATTATCCACGAGGGTGCTTTGATATGCGCTTGGGCCGTAAGGGCGCCCTCCAGGGTCTGTACACCCCCCAGTGAGGCGCGGTACTAGTGTGATGATTCTGTTTATTAATGTGAGCGAGGGCCGGATTGTATGCCATGAGATGCATTTGTTTATTGCGCTATGCGCCGTAAGGGGCCCCTCCCGGAGTCAGTACACCCCCAGTTGAGCGCGCACCAATTGGTATATGAATATAGGGGGCCCAGAGGGACTAGGTAAATTGTGGCTGGTATTGTTCTATGTTATTGCCCGAGGGGCTGATTCTGTTGTTATTATGCCCGAGGGGCTGGTATTGTTCTATGTTATTGCCTGAGGGGCTGATTCTGTTGTTATTTTGCCCGAGGGGCTAGTGTTGTTCCATGTGTTTGCCCGAGGGGCTGCTTCTGTTGGTATTGTGCCCGAGGGGCTGATTCTATTGATATTGTGCCTGAGGGGCGGTTCTTTACGTGCTTATCTTTTCTAGTTGCCGCTCATTTACTTGCTTAACTGTTAAAAAGGCATTTTGAAGAAGCTTAAATTGAACTAAAGTGACTTTACATATTTTTACTGTGTCACTGCTTTTACTGCTTCTTTATAGCCTGTTGATGTGCCTTTATGTGATTTCTTATTAATCAGTCTGCATTTATTATTATTACTCACTGAGTTGGAGCACTCACTTTACTCCCTGCACCTTGAGTGCAGATTCAGGTATTTCTGGACCCGGTAGCGGGTATTGGTTGCTCAGAGGTAGAGTCATCGGAGTTTAGCAAGGTAGCTGCCCGACGTCCGCATCACTGCTTTTCTCCCTCCTGATTTCATTATACTGTATGTAGTGCATTTTCAGAATTTTTCGTTGTATTTAGACCTTAGTATATGCTCGTGACTGGTGATACCCCGATATCGGGCTATGTCTATTCCGCAATTGTATCATTTACCTTATTTTGGGATTCATTATTATGATTTAGACTTTGTTCTATTATTTAATTGCTTAAGAATGAAGTGGGAGTGTGTCGGCTGGCCTTGTCTTCACGAGAGGTGCCATCACGATCGGGTCCGGGTTTAGGGTCGTGACACAAACCAAGTACACCAAGGAACTTATAAAGAAGTTTGGCATGGAGAATGCAAAGTCCATTGGAACTTCAATGAGTCCAACTACTACGCTTGAAGAAGATAATAATGGAAAAAGTGTGGATGAAACGATGTATAGAGGAATGATTGGATCTTTATTATGTCTCACTGCTAGTCGACCAGATATAGTGTTATGTGTGTGTAAATGTGCAAGGTTTCAGTCGGCTCCAAAAGAATCCCATCTTACTGGAGTTAAACGCATTATTAGATATCTTATTGGGACCTCTGAATTAGGATTATGGTATGCTCACTCTAAGAATTTTGTGTTAAAAAGTTTTTCAGATGCAGATTTTGCAGGTGATAAGATTGATAGGAAAAGTACTAGTGGCACATGCCAACTGTTGGGAAATGCTCTAATTTCCTGGCATATCAAGAAACAAAATTGCATAGCTTTGTCAACTACTGAAGCAGAATATTTAGCTGTTGGAAGTTGTTGTATACAAGTTCTTTGGATCATGCATCAATTTCTCGATTATGATTTATCTCTTACCTCTACTCCTATATTTTGAGATAATACTAATGTTATATGTCTGTCAAAAGATTCTGTGCATTACTCTAGGGCAAAGCATATAGAAATCAAGCATCATTTTATCCATGATCATGTTGTAAAAGGTTATATTGTTTTAGAATTCATTAATATTGAGTCTCAACTTGCTGATTAATTTAAGAAACCTCTTTTAGAAGAAAGATTTTGTTTACTGTGTAAAAATATTGGCATTATGTCTATTTTGTAAAAGAATCTTTCGTATCTGTATAAAATATTTTACTTCCTTACTTAAGTTTGTTTAATTGATGAAGTGTATTAATTTGATGTGAGTGTAATTATTACATTTCCATCGGTGCTGCCGAAGCAACTCCTCAGAAGTGTCACTTCCTTCTGAACCTGGCTTTTCCTTAACCGAGGAAACCCTTCAACCTTCCAAACGCCTAGATAAGTACCCTCTTCTCCCTCTCATTATTCATCTCCCCTAACAAAATTTCCTTACCATGGAAAGAAGAAACCTTTCATCTTCCATTACCACCAGACGAAGCAGACGATTTCAGAAAACCCATAACCCCGAAGAAACCGTAAACTTGGAATCATCCCTCGACTCAGACTTTCTTAAAACCGACAATGAAAGCAGTGAATCATCGGAGGATTTACCTACTAGTCAGAAAAAGGCAGAAAAGAGGCCTATGGAGCAAACCCCCAAAAAGCCTGCAAACAAGAAAGGGAAAGTGGAAAGCACAAATTTTGGGCCAGAGGACAAACTAAACTTCTATGGACCAAGTGAGAAATCAAGGTTTGAGTCCTATAAGTAAAAATCTATGGCTTATGGATGCTTTATAAGTCTTTCTCTTATGAAAAATCTGCATTGTGATGTGATTGCTAATTTTTACTTTCAACGTCTTTCTTCTATGTTTTATACTATTGGAAATTCTGTGTATGAAGAGCATGTGAGAATGTTCTACGCCAATCTGTTTGTTAATGACAAAGATGACTTGGAATCCATGGTTTTAGGCACTCGAATTGTTCTTGACTCTTATCAATTTGAGAAAATATTTTCTGCTAAGTTTTATGGGTATGATGTTTTTATGCAAAATTCCTGGCCAAAAGATTTTGAAGTTTCCTTAGAAGAGGAAAAAGCTTTTCTGCCGGATAACCCCCCTGACATTGGTCCTAAAAATCTCAAGTTTGAACATCGAGTTTTAGCCCACATGATAGCCACCACTTTACTTCCTAGAACTGGGTCCCTCAGCAGTTTGACTACTAGAGATATTTTTGTTCTTTACTGTCTTGTGAACAATAAAAGACTTAACTGGTTTGTGTGGATTCGTCAGTATATGTTTGAAAGTATCAGGGATATATCCTCTTCTGCTGCTTGTCTACCTTATGGTTTGCTCATCTCACACATTCTTGAAGTTATGAAGGTTGATTTGGCACCTTTCTCACCCAAGCACATTACCGGTACCTATGATTAGACTGCATTTGCTATGATGGGTTATACCTTAAGTGATGATGGATGGGTCAGGAGTGCCAAAGTTGAAAGTGCTTTAGTACAGGTTGAAGCACCCACTGAACCAACAGAAACTCAGTTGACTACCGCCAACAATCTACAGTAGATTCAGCAAAATCTAGATGGGGTAAAAATCCTGCTCATTCCAATGAAATAGCAGGTGGACAAAATCAGGGAAGTCACCAAGGAAACATGTACAGATGTGGCTAAGCTCAGGATGGACATGGGAGCCACGAGGAGGCAAGGCATCCGTGCATTCAACTCCATGACAGAAAAGATAGACAAAATCACCAAAGAAGTTGAAACCTCCTATGACTCTTTCTGCACCAAAGTGATCAATACCCTGAAGTACTTTCTTGGGGAGAAATTAAGGCAGTGTGTTAAAAATAATATTTTTTGCTTGCTTTTATCTTGTGACTTATTTTTTTTCATTGGTCTGTAAGAACCACCACTCTATGTCCTCAGCTGAAGGCATAACCTTTGCTACCCTAACTAGTTTGTCTATTATCTGCCTATTATCTACTCTATTTTGTATGTTTTGTCTGCATTTTTTTTCCTTTTTGATTGATGTCAAAGGGGGAGAAAAATCTGAAGAGAGTAAACCAAAGCATCAACTCAGGGGGAGTAGGGATGTGCAACAACTCAGGGGGACAAGCATCTCGAGCTATGAAAGGGAAGTATACTCTGTTTACTCTCTCTTGATTGTCATTATAAAAAAGGGGGAGATTGTTACATCTAAGTTTCAATGATGACAATAGTGCAAATCTAATCGTATCTATTTGATTGCAGGAAATCAGGAAGTAGCACTACTTCAAGGAAAGTTCAAAGGCAAGGATATCAGAATGGAAACGAGATCAAAGGCAACATGAACAATGCTAAATCAAAGGAAGTCAAAGTCATCAAAAAAGAAACAACATCAGTCCAGACGCTTTAGTCTCAATCAAAGAACATCGAGGCTGTCTCAACAAGGAAACATATCACGTGCGGGTGCTAGAGAATATCATGCCATACATCAAGGAATAAATTAGAATCAGAAGATTGATCAAATCAAATCCACAAATCACTTCTTGAAATTTGGATATGAAAGGGGAAGGACATAAACGAATCCAGCCCATCTCATGTGCAGGATTCGTAGGCACCCCTTGGGTCAAATCTCTTAGAGGATTCTCTGCCTCAATCAAAGATCAATCTGCAACGGATATTCAAACTCTTCTATAAGAAGACTGGCAATCTCAAGAAGAAGACTGACGCAACTACATAAACTATTTTCTAAGTCTTTATAGTTCTTAGTACAAACACTATATTCTTGATTCTACAAGTGTCACAAAAGATAGGAAGAGTTAGAACACAAAAAGAGAGTTGTATCAACATTAGAAAAACCACTGTTGCTGAATATCGTTGTGGTAAACATACTAAAACCATCACTATTGTAACCTTTTATCAAAGATCTAAGAGAACCCTTGTGACCTAAGGGAACTGGAGGTAGGTACCACACCGGTACTGAACCAGTATAAAAACTGGTGTGCCTTCTTTACCTTTCCGTTTGTTTAGTTCGTTCCTAGAGAAATTGTTCACTGTGTATAACCTAGTCGACTAAACTCACACTTACTCAACGAAGATTTTAGTTGGCTACAATTCACCCCTGTACTTTCAACAACATCTTCGATTGTGAACATAGTTTATTAATTATGAGAACCGACAATTTAATCTTCTATGCATGAGCTAAGACTCTATTCACTAAATTGTCTACTACATAACTAAAGGACATACATGTAACAAATGATCTATTTAAAATAATACTTTATTGAATTGAATAAATCAAATAAACAATTGTTCTATAAAGAATAAAACACAATACTATAACAAACTGCATGGTTTATAGTATATCCCAACAATCTCCCACTTAGACTCATAACCATGCGTCTACAACTCTAATACCCATTCCTTCTACATGTTTGTCAAAAATCTTCTGTGGCAAGCTCTTTGTAAACGGGTCTACCAAAGTGTTCTCTGACGCAATCTTCAACACTTTTGCATGTGACGACCCTAAAACCGACCCGGTCGTGATGGCGCCTATCGTGAAACTAGGCCAGCCGACACAACTCCCGAATTAACCATTTATCAATAAAAGTCATCTATAAGCCTTTAATCAATCAAATATCTCATAATGTAAGTCTAAATGAACAGGGCGGAATAAATACACAAGCCCGAAATTGGGGTGTCACAAGTCACGAGCATCTACTAAGGTCTGAATACAACAAGGAGTCTAAAAATATACTAACTACAGTCTAAGGAAGAGAAGAGTGAGAAAAGCAGTGCTGCGAACGTCGGGCAGCTACCTTGCTAACTCCAATTAGGGGTGGGCATAAAATCCAAAAAACGAATTCCGAACCGGACCGAATTAATTCGGTATTTCGGTTTCGGTTTTTTCGGTATTTCTGTATAATTCGGTATTACATTTTCGGTATTTCGGTATTTTGGTATTTTGGTACGGTCCTCGGTATTAGAATCTTGAAATTTTGGTATACCAAAATATCGAATTACCGAACTTTTAAAGACTTTTTTTTAAGTTGGACCTATAGTTAGCTACTACACTCACTGCCTAGCGCCCCAACCCAAAAGTTTTTAATATAATTCCCGGCCCACTGCCCACTCCAACGCCCCAACCCAATTGCCCAAGCCCACTCTCTATTCAATTTGGGTATAAAGTCTAAACTCTAAAGATTAATGCTGCTGCAGTGCTACTGTCACATTTTTTTTGAACGGTGGATTAAGCCATTAAGGCATTAAGCCACAAGAACTGAAGAAAGTGAGTAGTGAAATTTGCTACAGCCTACTGGTGCATTAAGCCATTATGTTCAATTTCATCATTTCAATTTTCATGTGTATTTGCTTCTTTCCACTTACTTTTTTCTGAACAGTTAGACTTAGACAGCAGCATTTCGTTGCTCTGTTAGTTCAATTTCATGGTTCTGTTCTTCAATTTCATTGTATATGTATTTCTTGGATGAACAGTTAGACAGCAGGGCATTGAACATAGGAGAATTATCACTTGTTAGTGTTGCTTATTTAGCGAATATTAAAATAAAACCGTACCGAACCAAAATAACAAATACCGAACCGTACCGAAATAATTTGGTACGGTATTTGGTATACACAATTGATAAACCAAATACCGAAATATCGAACCGAAATTCTTAATACCGAACCGAAATACCAAATGCCCACCCCTAACTCCAATGACTCTGCCACTGAGCAATCAGCACACGCTACCGGGTTTAGAACTACCTGAATCTGCACACAAGGTGCAGGGAGTAATGTGAGTACGCCAACTCAGTAAATAATAAAAGTAAATGAAAGCTGAGCAGTAAGAAAACACGTAAGCCACGTCATAACACTACAACAATTATGTCACGACCCTAAACCTGGACCCGATCGTGATGGCGCCTCTCGTGAAGACAAGGCCAACCGACACACTTTCAATTCACTTTAAGTAATTAAAATAATGATTA